GGCAATGAAGCGCAGGTACGCCATGCAGAATTCGTCGAAAATAAACTAGTATCTTTTTCAATTGGGTACAGTGAACTAGCTGTATGGAACGTGAATGAAGAGAAAAAAAAAAAAAAGAGAGAGAGGAGGAGAGAGAGATGAGAGAGAGAGAGAGAGAGAGAGAGAGAGAGAGAGAGAGATAGAGAAGAGACGGATAGTTATAAGCGCGGATATTTTGCTTGATACTAAATATAATTTAGGGTACTGCAGACGATAATATTTTGGACTATTGAGTAGCTCAATTAAGCAATTTTGAGTACTTGAATAAGAATCGTCATTGGGCGGATTTGTGAGAACAACTATGAGAAGCTTATTTAACGGTAAGTGTGATCAACAGACTTCTACGATGGTTTCAAATCCTATTCAGAGGTGAAAATGGGAATCAGTTAAATGACTAAACATCTGAGATATCTATTAATTCGCAGGATAAGCGTGCAATATTTATTTCAGCTCTCCTATGCTGCAAATTACATAATTGTTATTGCATGTTTTATTAATGACAAATTAATACTGAGCAGATTCTTTTCTAACGGGAGAATATGTATTTTAGCTGCTTGTCCGTCCTATTTGGAATATGTTTGTTGTTATTACCTCACAATTTGTCATTTCTACAACTAACTGATTTTCGTCATGCTCTAGGATTGGAACTGTTTCTCATATCTGTATTGCACGTTTTCGTGGTGACAGTCTTCTGTTAATTATTTTTGTATCTTGGTATCATCAGAATTCCATTGGTATTTTTCAGTTTTATTTACTGTGAGTGAATTTTGACATTCAGCCTACCAGCCTAACAGTAAATATCTACGATGTTTTTCAAATCTTTCAAACGTAATCTTTGGAAGCTAAAGATATAAAAAGTAAAGGTAATACTGAGACACGCTTTCTCATCCCACTTATTTGAAGGAATTAGGGGGATAAACGAGTAGATGGAATTTTGTCGCTGCATAAATGTAAAAAAACGTTTAAAAAGTTAAAAAAAACACCGAATCATATGAAGGTGTATAAATTTTAAATTCTTAGACTTTCAAAGAGAAGTTTGAAAGAAAGTGTCGGGAGAGAATTTTTTATTATTTGAGATCCCACATTTGAAGGCGGTCCAAAAAATCCAACCTGAACGGTTGCCTATGCGTAAGATTTGCTCGGATTTGCTCGGGATTTGCCCCTCGAATTTGCTCGATTTGGTCGAATTCAGTATTGTTTACTTGTCGGTTGACGCACGTCTAGCCAGATGCAAGACTTTCTCTGGGGAAATATTGAGGAAGGGGGCAGCGTGAATGCCGAAACATTGTCAACTGTGCTTAGGACAGCGGTGTCTCTTTGGACAGCCAAGTAAGATAATATTGTATTTACTGTAGCACCAAACTGTTTTTGTGGTGCAGAACTTAAGACTTATGACAACCGGACATAGATTTGGTCGGTGATAGAAGATGTTATATTAATAATGATGGGGAACGAGAAGGGGTGAGAAGAGAACAATTCTGAGAAAACTGAAGTGAACGCGCTTCACCGTACAAAATTTCACTGGATCGCAAGTACTGAAGCCGGTAATGACCGGGCAAACGACGGGTCGCCCAGAATGCGAGCTACAATTTCAGCTATCATGGATCCTTTAACGAGCTGCCCGCCTTTCAAACAGGACATAGTGGCGATAAACCGTAAGGTGAAGTGCTAACAATGCCCTTGAGCGAGACACTAATGATTTGTTCCTGCGCCATCGGCTACATTGCTTCGCGTGTCGATTTATGAAGCGTTGCGGATCGCGAGCGAGCGCGGGGATGGCGGTGCGGCCATCCTGCAGCAGCGCCTGGGGGTGGAGGGAAGGCCGTACGTGACGCGCTCACGGCGCGTGCAAGAAGTTGACCAGCCAGCACAGCAAGTGGATCAATGGAACAGGTGTGGAATGAGGGTTTATTAAGGAAACAGACCTAGTAGATAGCGAGTCCAGTATTAAGACCATATTGATTCTTTTTTCTTCTAATTGATTGACTTGACTGATTAATGTGTCGAGTGCTAAGAGTCTTGTGGAGATGTAGTCATGCATTTTGTATCTCTAACTGTGGATGACGAGATCCGGTGCGACTTAGCTTCGGTTTGAATGTTTATCCTACAGATTCTCCTTCCAGGGGCACGAATCAAGCTCTCGCTCCAACCGATCTCTCGGCATCTGTGGTAGTGTAATGCATGTAAGTGTTGTAAGTGTGCTGTATAAGTAAGGGAGAAGAATGCTGTTTGATAATTCAGATATTTCTGTAGTGAAGTGTGATTTGTATTTAAGTGATTGAATGTGTGACCTTTTTGAATTAGGAAAATACAAGTAAGTGTAATATAGATTTCATTTTATCGCTATTTTCACAATACGTGTAAAATTCCCAATAATCATATATATAATTCTATTTCATTTATTATTTAAGGTGCTTTTTTCGACAACTGGGTAATCATCATTTATATTTATTACTAACAAAAAAAAACAATTAGTGGTATTTGTACACAGTCCCAGGGTCAATAATTCTAAAGAGAATAGGCGCGTATTTTAGCAAAAAATGGCGACTCTTTGATATTTTTTCCTTTATGGTTGTTACAAAGAGTATGCATATTAGAGGCTGTCCGATTTTACTGGCTTTCGACATTGAGAAATACTCTCGCTTTTAGAAAGCACGTGCTTCAATGTGCAGAGCGGCGTGGGGTCAACGATTCGACAGGGCTGTTTTGAGCACGTTAGAAAGTGGTAAGTTTACTGGTAAAGTTCTCCATCATATTGGCTTATGAAAAGCGGAGTTAATGCGGCCAAATGAGCCATGAGCGTTGTATGAGGAGGTTCATAACGTTGTTGAGTGGAACAAAACGTAATGTATAATATTATGATAACGATAATAAAAATGAATTATAAATAGCTCTGTAATTACAAGATTGGTTGTAGAAAATTGCGTGGATGCAATGTTTAATATTTTGTATATTTTATGATATAAAATGTGACTCTACGTGTCTAAAGACAATTACCGATTTGAATAAATGTTTGGTTATGAACCAAAAGATTATTAGCATTAGAATATAAGTTGAATTTAATTTAATGTAATATTATATTAAATAAGGAGTTTATTGATGAATATACAGCTAGTCGTTAATGAACTAAAATGGACAAAAATGCGGATATAAAGAAAAATATGATTTCCATAGGCATATTGCTGTAAACAGACCATTGTACGAAGTAGAATGTCCAGGGAATCCATTGTCCAAAATCGGTCCTCCCCGTTGCGTCTATTTTACTCGCCATTTGCTTACGTCAAGGAGCAGCGTGGGAGGGGCGTCCTACGTATTGGGAATGAGCGAAACGTGTTCGCAGCTCGACTCCCGCGCATTCTCCCGAGCCCCACTCCGTTCGCCCGAGCCTGCCTCAGCCGGCTCGATTCCCCGCTTGGTTTCCGGGCGCATGTTCTCGGCGGAACACGTTACATCCAGTTTCTTCCGTTCACTGCTCTCGCCTTTCGTCTTCTTCTCGCCCGCAGCCTGGAGGCTCAGTTGATGTCGTGCAGAGCCCGAGGGGAATCATAGATCTGGTTCTGTGGTGGCGGATTTTAGACACACGTTTGAATTAGATAGATGTCTAGCATTTGTTTCTGGAGGCGAAATAATTGTAGCGGTCCTGAGGAATTCCGATAGGTAGTTTTCATGGTTTTCCGATCCCACATCAGGTATATGCTGGAGCAATATTCCTAACAAACGGCACGGCGCGCGATTTTTTCGTTACTCTTCTTATTTGCAACTTATAACACACTTACATAACAATGCTTTGCCTAGCACCATGTGAAACTTGCTCCTTGCCGGCTTGGGCGGTGCCCCGTTGGTGGGAGATACTGTTTTAGGGGAAATTCGCTATCTGAGTTTTGTCGTTGTCAAACCACCGGGGCGAATGTCACCGGCTTTGCGGCAAAATGGAACTACACTTACGGGATACGTATGTTAGGAGGTTGAATTTAATAATCTATAAATCATCATTGCACGCCTTCCGTTTCGTCTTCCCTATTTTTCTTCTTTCTCAAAGATATCTTTCTCTCTCTCTCCTCTCTCTCCCTCTTTCTCCCTTTTCTCCCCTCTTTCTCCTCTTCTTCCCTCTTTCTCCCTCTTCTCCCTCTTTCTCCCCCTCTTTCCTCTCTCTACCTCTTCTCCCGTCTCTCTCCGCTTCTCTCTCCCCTCTTTCCCCTCTCTCTGCCTCTCTCTCCCCTCTCTCTCACCCTTCTCCCTCTTCCCCTCTCCTCTTCTCTCTCTTCTCTCCTCGCTCTCTCTCCTCTCTCTCCCTCTCTCTCCCTCATCTCCTCTCTCTCCCCTTTCTCACCTCTCTCTCCCTCTCTTCCTCTCTATCCCTCTCCCTCTCTTCCCCTCTCTTCCCTTTTCTCCCTGTTTCCTCTTCTCCTTCTCCCTCTTCCCCTCCTCTCTCCCTTCTCTCCCTTCTTCCGCTCTCTCTCTCCTTTCTCCCTCTCTTCCTCTCTCATCCTCTCTCTCCTCTCTCTCCTCTCTTCCCTTCTTCTCCCCATCTCTCCTCTCTCTCCTCTCTCTCTCCTCCTTCCCCTCTCTCTCCCTCTCTCTCCTCTTCTCCCCTTCTCTCGTCCCCTTCTCTCCCTCTCTTCCCTCTCTTCCCTCTTCTCCCTTCTCCCTCTTCTCCTCTCTCATCCCTTCTCTCTCCTCTCTCCCTCTCTTCCCCTCTCTCTCCTCGTTCTTCCTCTCTCTCCTCCTCTCCCTGTCATTCTCTGTCATTTATCATCCCACGTACACACAACCCCATCCGTGGCTATGTATTCACAGGGCCGTTCTTATTCTTGAAACTCTTTAGACTTGACCTGCTGAAGCATTCCTAGTTTTCGATCACGCCTCGAGCTGCTCCCCACCTTTCGCTCGCACCTACTTTTACAGACATTCTTCTATCATTTACATCTTCTCTTTATGCTGAGTTAGCCCTTTTTCCTTACTCTTTTTGTAACTTCTCTCTCCTCTTTTGCTACAGCCATTTCGCCACTGAATACAGTGTTACGCTCCGTCCTGTCTCCGGCCTGCGGTGGTCCGGCTGGACGGTGTTCCGCCCATCAGCACTCGCGGCGACCGCGCGCGCCGACAAGTCAATGGCCACATTTCGCGGCGGACACTACGTGCGGACAGCGGTGCGACCTGACATAATAGCCCCCCGAGGCCCATAAAGCGCCAGTCGCTCAGTAGTCGCTGCGGGACGCCAGGCCACTCACCCCACCCCGCATCACTGTGCACCATCGATGTCTCGCCCACCCAGACTCATCACGCCCTCCGTGCCCCTATCCCTGCCTACCCCTCTGCCTACCAACCACGCCAAGACATCAGACCACGCCCGCTCACCGCTCCACCTCTCCGTCCCACCCCCATCGCACTCGCCGCTACCCACCACCAGATCCACGCCCGCTCGTGCTCTCGCCCCGCCCTCGCCGACCGTCGCATTCCCCCACCGTGTTGCGGATCCGCTTGCGACGCTCCGTCGGTCGTAAAGCGTCGGGGCCTCTCGCCTCGGCCTCACGGCAACGACTGGGCGAGGAAGCGAACAGAACATATACCTCTGTGAGACGATTAGGGATATATTGAAGGTGCTCAAATAAACTTAAAGAAATAAAGAGTTATGGAAGCTGTTAGCAAAGAATACCCATCGCAATTGGTTTGATAGAGTAGTCTGAAAAGATGATTAATATTTTAACTACTCGGTACTTTACTAGATTAAGTATCTCTATTACTATTTTCCTTCAAAGATATAATTTTTATTAAGAATATTTTGGATACTTTTTCTGACATTTTAGAAAATCTTAAAGAAGGTCTGATTCGTGCGTAGCCAGGAAATTCCGGGGCATCGCCTCCCTGCTTGCTTCTTGCCTCATTTCTTCACCCGGGTGGGCGGGGCGATTCGCCGCTCTGAACCACTGTTCCTGTTCCGCCTCGAAGAGGTGGCTGTATTTCCGAGGGCAACCGGAAAGCCGATTGTACGGAAATCCTGCAAATGAGCCAGGGGGAAAAGAAGGCTTTGTCTGAAATAACCGACAGGAGGATTTTTTTGCCTCGAGACGGGGACAGAGAACACACTTAAACGTTGGATTGTGGTGAACGGTGATGGCGAACCTTTCTGAACAACTCTCGGGAGCGGATTCGGAATGGGGCGTGGTCAATAATCGATTGTGGGTGTTTTCCTGAACGGTCTGGCACGTTATTTGCCGTAATGTATGTTTTTATCTGGATGTAGCGGCGTTCCTTCCGCGTTTTCGGCATTTCGGTGCGATTTGGTGGTGACCGTTCGGGTCGTTGCATAGCGTAGTATTGCATAGCGTTAGTATTTGCATAGCGTAGTATTGCATAGCGTAGTGCATAGCGTAGTATTGCATAGAGTATTGATAGGGTGGTATTGCATAGCGTGGTATTGCATAGCGTAGCGTAGTATTTGATAGCGTGGTTTGCAATGCGTAGTATTGATAGCGTGGTATGCATAGCGTGGTAATTGATAGCGTGGTATTGCATATGGTAAGCGTAGTATTGCATAGCCGTAGCGAAGTGTAATTGCGATAGCGTAGGAAGTATTGATATGCGCTGGGAGGCGTCTCCATATCGACACGCCTCAGGAAGTAAGGGAGGAGAATAAGCGTGGGAGGATACAAGAAGAAGTAAGAGAGGTGTGGCGTTTGTTTTAGGGTACTGCTCCAATTCGCGGTGGTGGTTGATCGTAGAGACGAAGAGACATTTTGTCCCGAGCTGCCGGCCGTGCTATTTTTCAGAGAGAGAGGGATGAATTTCGACGTAGTGTTGGATAATCTGCCGTCGGCAGTTCACCCGAGACCTTCCGACAGCCGTCAAGAAAAGCGGCAGTGCTGTGTCTGGCGCCACCTGTCAGTGCCGCGGACCATCCCGGTGACCGAATGACCTGCTCAGGTCACGTGACACGTGTTTTCCAGATTTTTCTAATCACGTCCAGTGTGATTTATTTTTCTCGAAGCGTGCCGTTCGTGTTTCCTGTCTTTCGTTGGGACTTCCCTCTTCTATGGTATCATTTTGATGTCTCTCTGCACTGAATTTAGATTGCGCTTGGCTGTATTTTTTGGGCCGTGCATTTGCATTAGGATACATCTGCATAATCGCCACTCCCGGCCCGAAGTGGCCGCGTCGGCGGTGCACTCGAGAACTCCGGCGAATCGACCTCGTCTTCGCTGTTGCTCCGGTCAGCTCTTCCAAGTGTTAACATCGGGTGCTGCAGGGCATCTGACAGATTCGTGAGTGCTTGGAGGGAGGGACGTAGAGAGTTCTGAACTCAGACAAATTTTTCGAGCACTAGCACTTTGGAGGATAATTCTTGCGTTCGTCTGTCCGATCAGTATTTTCGTAGTTTTTGATAATACCATCCGAATGCAGGAGCACTGTCCTCAGTTGCATATGTTTGTTGCAGGAACTAAAATCACAGGCGCTGGAATGATATGAACAAATCTTTGATTGCAGAAAATGTTTGCGTGATTTTTTCTATCAGGTGGGTATTTGAATTATGTGTAACTGTGCAGTGGTAAGTTTGCACGTTTTGCACGTAAACTGAGTAACGTGGCAGTTATTATTATTATTTTATTTTCTATTTGTTTTCGGTTTGAATAATTTTTGTAGGGGGCAGATAGATGTTTGGAATTGAAAATTTTGCAATGTACAGATATAATGATTTTACGCCAGAACAAGCAATACTAGTACTGTTGGATATAGAGTTGAGTGAACTAATTTTACAATTGGTATCAACTGTTCGTTATCGCCATATAGTTTCCCGGTAATTGTACTTTTATTATTTAAAGGTTTCCAGAACGCTTGGTGATGCCTTTTTGGCATGCGTAACATGAATCGAATCCGAGCCTTCGCATACATAGATAAAAATGTCACTTGTCGGAATCGAGAGAAGTGAGTTTCAGCGAGTGGCGTTATTGAGGAAGACGTGTGTCTAGCTCGCAAGAAGTTCTTTGAAGTGGTTTCATCGGTGGTTACGCGGAGGTGTACATTTCTTTCTTGTGCTATCATGATCAAATGCAAGAAATGGTTTTTTTGATGTATGTATTTAAAAACACGGGTTCGAAAGGAGCTTTCAAGCCACGAGGTGTCGTGGTTTGTCCTAATATCGGAGAGCTTTTTTTTGGCCAAGAGTACGGAGTTGAAAAGACGATGGGTCAGCTTCATCTGAGATGACTTATGAAGAGCGCTTCCGAGAAGTTTAGGGGCGTTTGCAGCGCCGCAACTATAAAATGAGGGGGACAGGCGCGGCGCGCCGGGCGTCGATTGTTAGGACGTGCGCACGGGAGGGAGGTTTCGTTCGGCAGGGCACGCGTGCGGGCCGCCGGCGCGTCCCGCACTTGCCTCGGTGGGGTGGAAAGTGAAGTGGAACGCCAGACGAATTTGCAGAGTTATACTGAGGTTATGCTGTGGAATAAAATCGGTTTCGTTTGTTTCGAGATGAAACCGAGACGCATTATAAATCAGTCTAAGTTGGTTCAAAAACAATATCTTAGGAAAGTAAATGCTTACTATTTGAATTAGAAAGATGTTTTTGTGAGAAGTAATTATGAAAAAAATTAAGGATTAAAAATAAAAAGAGGTAAAACCCACGATTTGTAAAAACGCGCATTGTTTTAATGAAGTTGATTATGGGGAAGCTGTTTGTATATTTCAAATAAAATACTTTGTGTTTTGTTTTAGTTTTTTTTAATCGCCACCAGATTGATGTGAGACTGGAAATAATTTTGTGATAATGGTGTGTGTGAATTTTATAATTGAGGAAGAAATGTGGGGTATGATTTAAACATTTATCAGTACTCTAGATTGAACAGCATAAAGCGCGTATTATATTAAAATCATCAATTGAATTTCTCAATATCCTTTGACTTGATGTTGGAATGCAAGATGTATCAATGAACTTCAATGTTTATAATAAGTTAATATTTTATGGATATTATTTTCTTGTGATGTTTTGGTAGGTAATATCATTATTTATTGTAATAGATTAATTTTTAATAGATTTTCATGTATTTATTTATGTATTAATCGTCATTCCGTCTTTATTCATTTTTGTTTTTCTGCAATTAACATTCTTCCCCATAGATATTGTGCGATTCTCAGAACTGTTTTACTGCAGTTTTAGTTGGTTATATTCGATACTGAACTTCGCCAGAAAGACGTAAGTCTTCTTCGTAATTCACTTTCATCTGGGTTCAAACCACTTCTTCCATAAATTTACAAAGCTGCCGTTTTCCTTACTACATTTTGTACCCATTAGTTTATTCGTGAATTCTTAAACAGTTTTTGAGATCAACCTTGATCTCCTTTTTGTAAGTTAAAAAATTATTGGTCGTTGTTCCTCGAAAACCTACTTTTTTAGCTTAAAATACAATAAATTTGACACTTAATGACTCGTCTTTAGTTTGAGTCTTTATATAGTTATACTCCGAACATTTAATTAACTATCTTAATTTAAAATTGGAAAAATTGTGATATGGGCGACGGTGACGCTGTGTCGAATATTGAGGGCCGAGGTTTCGACAACCATTGTGATCTTCTTCAGGGCTGCAGGCGGATAAGATTTTGTTTCTACGTGTTGTAATTCTTTTTTAACACGTTGGTATAGTCAGAATACGTTTTGTAAGTCTTTATATGAAAATTGGTTTCGTGAAAAACGTAGTTGTAGGTTGTCGATGAACTTAAACGTTGAGACGTTTTTCCCCAATAATATATTGTCTTGATCGATTGAGGCGGACTCGAGGCCTGCAAGTTTGCAATTTTGATACTCAATATGATGTGTTGGAAATAGCATGTGAAGTTCTCGTTGCTTGCGTGGCTGAGGCGTCCCTTGTTATGAAGAAATATCGCATATAGCGGAGACCACGCCACCTCCCGCGATAAAAACAGTATTCATTTACGGGAGAAACACAATCGAGGTTGGCGCGCCCCAGGAAACACTAGTCATATTGTTTCTTCTAAATACTATCGT